CACACACTCACATGTACACACACACTACACACACAGCATACAGACATAGGAACTGCCTGTCACTGTGATAGCACACGCGCACACACACATACACACATACACAGCATACAGACATAGGAACTGCCTGTCACTGTGATAGCACACACACACACACACACACACACACAGCATATGGACACGGGAACTGCCTGTCACTGTGATTGCACACACACAGAGAGCATACAGACATGGGAACTGCCTGTCACTGCTATAGCACACACGCACGCACACACATACACAACATACAGACACGGGACCTACCTGTCATTGTGATTGCACACACACAACACACACACACACACCATACAGACACGGGAACTGCCTGTCACTGTGATAGCGCGCGCACACACACACACACACACACACACACAGCATACAGACACGGGAACTGCCTGTCACTGTGATAGCACACACACACACACACACAGAGCATACAGACACGGGAACTGCCTGCACCTGTGCCGCACATACATGCAGCATACAGACAGGAAGATGTCTGTTTGTAACATGATTTTCCTGGGGCTCTCCTGGGACTGTTCAGTTGGTAAAGAGCTTGTCATGTAAACATGAGGACCCACATGGTTGGGGACCGCAGATCACAGGCCCTGAATTTCTTGTAAACAACTTGTTTTTCTCTGCTCTGAGACAGCCTGCAGCTGCTCTGAGCACGAGACCCTGATGGCAGGGAAGTGGGTTCTGGTGGGTCTGCAGCTGAAAGATCCCGAGAGCTGGGATGTGCCCATAGCCCTACATAAGCTGCCTTTGAGCACCATAATAGTGGGCATTCTTGTCTCAAGGATGACCCATGTCCGTGTCTCTCTCTCTCTGTCTGTGTCTATATGTTTTTAAATTTTAAGCCTAGTTCCCATAGCGCGTAGTGAGTAGAGCATGGAATGGAATCGGTGTAGTTTTTTTTTTAAGATTTATTTATTTATTATGTATACAGTGTTCTGTCTGTCTGTATGTTTGCTGGCCCAAAGAGGGTACCAGATTTTATTACAGATGGTTGTGAGCCACCATGTGGTTGCTGGGAATTGAACTCAGGACCTCAGGAAGAGCAGTCAGTGCTCTTAACCTCTGAGCCATCTCTCCAGCCCCGAACCGGTGTAGTTTTACACCATGTAAGCGTGTGTCTTAACTCTAACCCCAGTGCCGGGGTGGGGTGGGGGGGCAGAAACCGGAGGAACCCGGAGCTTGCCTAGCTCGCCAGCATAGCCAACACAGTTTGCTCCAGGTTCAGCGAGAGACCCCAACTCAAAAATAAACAAACAAATAAATAAAAAAGAATAATAGAGGAAAGAATCTATGGGGATCTCGGACCTTTGCACACACATGTACACGACATGGATACACATACACAACACACACACACAAAAAAAGACAAAAATTTTCACACTACCCAAACATAGAGTCATGTATATGAAGCAGTCCTTATGTACTAATATGAAATGCAACAATCAAATAGATTATTACAAAGGAAATTCAAAATTCAGAATAAAATACATAAATATACTCCTATTTATAAATAGACCTGGAGAAACTTGCATGCTTGTCATACCCTCTGTGGAAGAACAAAGAATATTGTGGGTGGACTAAATATTTAAGCTGTTGTGGTTTTAAATGTGGCTCCGTGTGTTTGAGCACTTGGTCCCAGCTGACAGTGCAGTTTTAGGAGGTTGCAGAACCTTCGTGAGACCTCGCTGGAGGCTGTGGGGTGTGAACCTTAGTGGTTGGAGCCGGTCCTTTTCCCTGCTGATCTCTGTCTCTCTCTCTGCTCCTGCCTGCTGAGTGGATGTGAGCAGGCATCCTTAAGCCACACACCCCCTACACACACACACACACACACACACACACACACACACACCAATCTCTTCTTCACCACGGTGGACTGTTCCCCTTACTCTTCCTTCTCAGGAACTGTTTTTAGCAATGAGAAGGGTAACCAGTATGTCTTAGCTTCCTCTTTCATTGCTGCCGTTAAATAAGAACAACAGCAACAACAAAAGCGATTCATGATAGAGAGGGTTTATCTTGGCTTACAATCAAGGCACAGTCCATCTTGATTGGTAAATCAAGGCAGCTGTCACGTTGCACCCATACGCAAAAATCAATCAATCAAACAAACAAACCAACCAAACAACAAACAAACAGCAATGAATGCACATCTCTGTTCAGTTCCTTTCCCAACGGGGGAGGCGCCGCCCACAGTGGGTGGGGTCTTCCCATCCCGATGAACTCAGTCAAGATGGTCCCCCGCACACACGGCTGCCCAGAAGCCCCTTCCTTTCCTGTTTTTAGACTCTGTCGTGTTAAACAACACTGTCACACAGTGCAAGAGGCCACTTCACACCTGGTCTCTCTGCCCACCCGCCCTTTGGAACCTGTGATTTTGGGGCTCCACTCTTTGGGTTTGTTTACTGTTTATCTTTCCCATACTTTTATACACGGAAATACAAATAGCAGCAATTTGGAATTTGGAATCTCATTGTTAAAAAATTTGTGGATTCAGCCAACAAACATGCACGCAGCTCTTCTATTTCTCTTTTGCATACACTGGACATGGCAACTATTCTCACAGGACCGAGTCAGTACGAGGGCAGCGGGCAGCGGGCAGCGGATGGTCCCGGGACTGGAGCGCCGCACAGGTCGTGGTTAAAAGCCTGTAGAACAGAGGACCAGCCTAACTCCTACAGTACGGTAACAGCCTGTCTCTGCTTTGTGTTGTTTGCATTTGCTAAGGGAAATTATCAACATGGAGAACACCTGGGACAGACTAGAAGCGAAAGACAAAGTTTCTGAAAACCTACAGCCTGGTGCCCTTCACAAGACGGACTTTAAAACATGGGTAAGCAAGCTGGGCCTGACGATATATGTGTGTAATCCCGGCCTGTGGGAGGTAAAGATGGGAGGAAGAGGTCAGCCTTGGGTACAACAGACCCAAAGCGCAAGCAGACAGAAGAGAGAAAGGAGAAAGAGAGACACAAATGTCACAGCAGGGGAAGGTACGACTTTACCTGTGTCTCAGGAGGAAGAACACACCCAAGGTTTTTCTCCCCATTTCCTCCCAGCACACATGACCCTGAAACCAAGAGGTGGGGATGGCACTGTTTCCCACTCTGCCGTCTACACACGGGTGTCTTCCTAGCTTACACACACACACACACACACACACACACACACGTTTTTGTCTGTGAGAATCAATTATGACTGGCATAGATCACCTTAGAGCGGATGTGATGTAAAAAATCATCTCCTGCTTATAGAATGTCTTCCGGTTCACTCAGCCTTGGTTCTGTCTCCCGGGCATCCCCTCTGCTCCCACCTCTGGTGTCTCCAGGCTTGCACTGGCTGCGGCTGCCTCTCTGAAGTGGCTGTCCCCTTCTCGCTGGGTTTAGGAGCTGCCCAGATCATCTATGATGACCTCATTGCAAGCTCTTTTAACTCGGTGACCAAGTCTACAAAGACATTTGTCCTAATAAGGGGGCATGTGCAGTGTTGGGAAATGGCCACATGTTCTTGGTGCCAGCAGTTAACTTGTGGTACATGAACTTTGAGGATCCACCTGCATGGAGGCCGAGAGCATTTCCAACCTGCCTGTGTCCCCTCAAGCCGACTTGAGGATTCAGACTCCGCTTTTTGACAAGTGCTGAGGTGTTTGCCTGTGGCCTCGGCTGGGGTTTGTGCAGGAATCTTGGGGAGAAACAACTCTCTTCTGCCCACCCCAAGCTTTCCCTCTTTTCAGTTTAAAATTTGTTTTATTGAAGCAGAGGGGTTTAGCTTAAAACTTCCTCAAAGAACTGTTTTATAGTATATTTTTAAAGAGAGGTATTCTAAGGTAAGATATAATTTTTGGCCATTTTTGCATGTATAGAGTTGAAATGCCAGAGAATAACTTTAATATATTTTTTTTAAAAACAAAGGGAAAAAAGAAGAGAGAGAGAGAGAAACAGGAAGGACTAAACACAATAGAGTGGGCTATTTCTCTCAAACTCTTTGTCATGAAATAAACAGGAGATCGTAGACACACAGAACACTGCTCAGCCACGTTCTTACAGCTGCTCAGCCACGTTCTTACAGCTG